GGGTACTGGAGAAACAAATCATAAGATAGAGAGTAGATGTTTGTTTGACCTCTCCCTCATGGAATTTTTCCTTCTTTGTCTAGCCAGAGGTCAGATAAAGCCACCCTATTTACTTGGTTGCTTTTCTGGGGAAAACATGTGAAGTAGGAAAAATAGAAAGTTTATAAGTCCACTTGCTTCAGTCATTAAAATTTGATCTTTAAATGGGTTTAGGCCATGTCTGTAAAAAAGCTTTGAAAATATATGTCCCACCCAGTGCTTTGGAGTGGAGTACTAAAGGAACCAGTAGTCTTTGTCATAAACTGGGAAAAAATCTGGAACCATGAAGAAAACTCCTCTCTGGGACTGAATGTTAAAGGGAGCCTGTGAGCAGGCTGAAATGTTTGCTAGGGGACCACCTGGATCTACTTGTTGAGTGGAAGTGGGAGAAATGCAGCAATAAAGAGACGGGTTGAGTTTGGCCACTGACACCTGTGGACTTGGTTTACAGGGGATAAAAAGGAGAAGATGAGAGCGGGTTGACTGGTCTAAAGTTCATGACCTAGCCTGCAGGGGCTAGGCTTGTTGAGTTGGTGAGAGCCCATGGTCTAAGGCAAGGCGACCAATGGGCACCTTGTGGAGACTGAGTGAGGCAGCCCACATTGAGTTGACCAGAACCCGACTGGCTGGAGATTTTTGAGCCTGTGAATTGGTGCATATTGGTGCCGAGTTTATGGATTGCCTGTCCGGATTTGACTTTGCTTATGGATGCAGACTTCACAAGGTTCCAATTAGAATGAAGACTCTTCATGTCGAAAAATATGATTGTCTTCTCAGAGAACTGGGTTGATGTACGTGGGCAGTATATAAATTGGATACCCAAAATCAGGGTAGATAAAGGCATGAAGTGGTTGGTTTACAAACTTTCATAGGTGGGGGGAAAAATTCACAGGATTATAGGGTTAAGGTATAGGTGTTACTTAATTGCAATTGTGACACTAAAGAATTATGTACAGGTGCAAGGGGTGGATTGAGTTAGTTAGTTTATTGTGCCAACCTGGCCAATAAACACATGTGGGATTAACTGAAGGGCGGAGGGATAAATGGCTTGGTGAGCCTCGCCTTTCAAGTTCTCAGGTCTCTTGCTTTGTGATGGTCGCACCAGCGTGCAGCTGCCTTAGCAGTTCCCTGCTTCAGCTTGCAAGACTGACTTCCTGCAAGACATCCCCAAGGAGAAGCCACATGGACCTACCCGATGCAGCCCTGGGTGCTGGAGCAGCCGTGTGGAGACCCCTGCCAGGGCTGAGATG